CAGGAAAATGGAGGCAAATAAGTCGTTAAATAGGTTAGGCTCCTTAAATAGGTTTGACTGAACAAATAGGGGGAACTGTTTCAGCATTGCTCATCCTTATGTGGTTTTCCCCTTTTTTTGTGTGGATAAAGTCCGTTCTGTGTTGAAAATCTAAGTGACTGAATATTTTTAGAGTTGATAAACTGAATTTCTTAAAATTACTTAAGATAATGTATCTGCCATCCCTCCAAAGTGTTCAGGTATGGTATTAAAGGGAAACTGTAATTAATACATGAATTATACTGTAATCCCCTTGGAATTTTCAGCAACCAAAATATTTTGAGATTGCATGGCAAAATTCAACAGTAAGGACTAGGGGAAAAATTCCTGAGTGATGTGATAACCTATACAAACAAGCTATCTAACAAGAGCTAATTTGTGCATGAATAACTTTTATTCTGAGTCTCCTCTGTTTTTAGAAAGTGGATTTGGTTTGTAACAATGCTATTACTGCTTTTATTTAAACACATAAGTTACTTTTACATACTGAAGAGTTAATTTTATTAATTTTTCTAATCTCGCTTAGCAAAATAGTATCATAAAACACAGAGTTGAAATTAGATTTAAAATGTCAGTTGTACCACAGAAAGCCAAGTCAGACTAGCCTGTCAGATAAAAATGTTTTCTCCATAAAAAGTGATGGGAAAGGCAGGCTAAAACTTGAGCCCAGGAGATGCCTGGTTAGAAAATGCATTCCAGTTATTTTACATCTGCTATAATTTCACTAACTGTTCTGGAATTTCAGCACACAAGAGGAGTGAGTAAGCTTGCTTGGTGAGGCCTCTTTCCAGTTTCTCAAAATAGCAAAAAGGTTTAAAAGAAAGGGGGAGTAGATGATCAGAATCTAAAGAAATCTTGAAGACTACATCAGCATCAACCCCCTTATAAACTTATTCGAAAGTCTGAAAAATAATATGCTGCCCTCTTTCCCTGAGCAGATCTGGGATTACAAAAAGAGGAGTGCAGACTGAATATAAGATGACACACATTTGTCTCCAGTTAAGGAAAAACTAGAAGCTCAACTGAGTAATATATTAGGGGCCTACTACTACATTATTCAGTTTAAGATCAAAGCAAATCAAATATAACTTTATTGAAATGTTCAGTAATTAACCAGATTATATATTGGGTTTAAAAAACAGAAAAACTATGCAAAAATGATCAAAATAGTAAAAAGATATCATTTTATTAGTCCTGTAATCATTATTGTTAAATGCTCATCCCTTTATTCAGATTTGTAAAACAAAATTTAGTCTTCTTGAATGTCTTGACAGTGCCTCTAGTACTTCATTGTCAATCATTTCTATACCTGAGTTAAGGTTTTTAGCTAGAGCTAAAACAGTCTGCAGGGCTGTGAAACAGAGGAGATAGGTTATCCATTCTGCAATTTTGTTGCCCGTTAGCCATTTCTGGTAATCTAAGTAGTGGAACGTTAGGACCAGTTAAAGGAGAGAGGGTCTTAAACACCTATGGAATGAAGAGACATTAGCAGGAATCAGGTAGATTATATTGAGCCACAGAGTTGACTGACACCCTCGGTGCTACCTGAATAGAAGTGCCACTCCTCCCCTCCTTCCCCTGGCAAGCAGTTGGCTTTAAAGTTGGGGTAGAGAAGGAATCGAAAGGAAGTGCAACTGCACCACTGCAGCCCCCCTAGTCTGTCCCTGCCTCTCTATTATTTTCCTTTCCTAGTTATGATGGTTTAGGAACAAGGGTAAATTGAAGCTTTACCCAAAGTAGAATAAATGGGAACTGTATAGTGTGCTGATAGAAACTCTGTTCTAAAACAAAGACTGAAACAGTAATACCAGAATATGTGAAGAGTAAATTACTAAAAAGTACTAGAGAACACAACCATTAGTACAGAGAACACAACTTTTGCGAAGTGTAGGTGATGGGTCTAAGTCAGTCTGGATCTGCTTGGGTATCTGTTGCATGTGACAAAATGTTACAGGGTCTTTGGCATAAAGAAGAAGGCTTTCAGCTATCTTAAGAGTACTAATACCACACCTGTAGTGACATGCATAGCAGACAGCTAGCCCAAGCACCAAATTCTGCAAAGTTGCTATAGAAAGATCTAAAATGTACCTGTAAGGGGCAGAAAATATTTATATTGCTTTTTTTTTTTTTTATCTTGTATAGGCAGAAAGAGAACACTTCTGGTAGCAACAAAATTACTGCAGGAGGAGGCCTTAAAGCCTCCTGTTGAGTGAAATGAGACAGTCAAGAATGGAGTTAAATTCTTTTAGGATGTTACCAGGGCCCTTAGCAGATGTTAGTATAATTGTGCCATTGGGATCTGATGAATTTTGTGCTGAATCCCAAAAATCATGCAAACTGCCACATGAGATGTGCATGGCAGGATGCATTACTTTTTTGGGAATGGATGTAAAATTTCTTTAATTCCAATCACACAACTTCCAGCAGATGGGGTCCCCAGAGCTGACCCACACCCAATCCCCACAATCAGTTGATGGTTGGGATTGATCATGGGACAGCCCTAGAATCTGGGACGTAGCGACCCCATGGATAATTGACATCCAGTGGAGCAGCCCCGAGTACCAAAGCAGGACCCTCTACCCAATCCCAGTGGGGTATTGGGCAGCTGTATCCTAAACCTGGAGGATGCCCCCTGCCCAATCCTGATGAAAGGGTCCCTCTGTGCCAGCAAAACAAAGCAGGAAATGTGCCAGCATAGGTGAAGCCTATTGGCACTTTTAACCGCCTGGCTCTGCAGCCTCACACACAGAGCTGCAGAGCAAAGCTAACATGCCACATGTTCAAAATGAAGAGCCATACAAATAAGCCACAGGGATGTTCTGCATTTAATTGAACATCTTGTGGCTAGCTTTGCCATTTTTTTTATGGTGCCAAAAATTGCTTGAATATATAGTATGTTACAATGTGTCATGTGATTTAACAGGTTAATTATGCAATAAGGGTAAAGTCTGCTAGGGGCCTACGAATTCTAGAGTTCTTTAAAAATACTAGAATGAGTCTCTGCAAATTAACTCTTCTAAATTAACTTGATGATTTTATTTATTTATTTATTTTACTAGTATTCGCATCAGAAAAAGAAGCCAATTTGTTCCTGAAACGACATCTTCTAAGTAACAGATTTGATTTTGAAGTATTTACCCCTGGTGATGTAGAAAGAGAATGCTTTGAAGAACTGTGCAATTATGAGGAAGCAAGAGAATTTTTTGTAGATCCTGATAAAACGGTAATTGTTTCTGTTTTGTTTAATATATTGGGTGGCTATCAGTAGATGACAGTTTTATTTAAAACTGTTGCAGCCGTTCACAAGAGATTCAGAAAAGGAGATTGTCTGGATTATTTATTTTGCAGTAAATCCATAGGCCCTAATTGGGCTCTCTTGCACTAGGTATGCAGTAAAGACCTTTGGATACATGGTATATGCCACATGAAACTTACTATCAGAGAGTCCAATTCTGCAAATACTTACAAACAGAACTTTAAACAGAGCCACAGAATATCTTCAGAATGATCTAAGAGGGAAGAAATACAGTCAAATGCATACTACTTTATGTGCTTTTTTAAACTGCCAACTATCCCCATGTCCTAATTGTTGATTGCCGTGACATGAAAAAAATACCTTGAAGAGGGTAGCGATTATGTTGCAGGTTCGTGAATGGTGAGTTTTATGTACAAGATAATGCTTTCATGAATAAAATAAACCTATGGCATGGGGGCGAAAAGATGCAAGAAGCCTTCTAACTCTTCCCCTGTTCTGCCTTAATCACTCAGTTGAGGGGTCAGATTCAGTCATTTGGAGAACTGTAGCTACTGCAATTTGAGCTGCCTCTGGTGCTCACCCCTCATGCAGTGCACTCGCTTCTCTCACTCTTCCATCCTGGTGTTACCACAGGAGTTTACATTACCTGGAATTTCCTAAAGAATTTGACATGACTGTTTTAATCTGGATGTTAAGTTAGTAACACTCTGGACTTATAACTTAATGTATAACTAAAGGAAGGCATGCACTGTATAAGGTTATTTTCTTATGTGCATCCTATAATTTAGTGGAACTCGTTACTGCAGGGGATTATTGAGACAAAAAGCTTTGTAGGTTAATTAGGATAAATGATTATAAGCACCATTTATTTCTTAGTATGGGATGTAAATTATCTACTAACTGGGATCAGGAAAAAATTTTCCTTTTAGTATTTCACAGTTGGATGTGTCCTTTGTTTGTCTTTTTGCTATATTAATAGGTGGCATTTGCCTTTGGGCTGTAAGCTTGCTCCAGTATGACTGTTTTATTAACTGAAACTTCAGGGGGGTTTACAGGTACAAATCCTATTGAGTCTAGTGGGAGTTGTTCCTATTTGTATCATTATTTCTTGCCTTGGTGTTTTGTTTTAATGTTGTTAATATCTTAACGGTTAAGAATTTGCATATAACCTATATCTTTCAAAAATACTTATTTTTATAGATGGCGTTTTGGAAAGAATATTCAAAAAAGGATCCCAGTACAACAATCAGTAAGTGATCATCTACATAACTCCTTTTTTGTTGCAATTAATGTGGTTTTTCTACTGTAACCCCTTTTTTTTAGATATTCTGGTCGTTATGTCCAGACACTTGATCTTTACGCATGCAGCTGGCAGCATTTATAGCGAGGCTTATTCCTGGCTTATTGTCTTTATATATCTTGTAAATTACAAAATAGGTCTACTGCAGGTCTAATACACTTGGGTGAGGTTCAGACAGTTGAAGACTTTGACCTTTAAAATATGTATAAAATAAAGCCCTTACTCGCCACATGCACTCTTTCCCCTCCCAAAAAAATATTTTCTAAAACTGGGGTGCATGTCTTCTGCCAAAAAGGAAAAAAAAAGATTTCTGTGCTAGAATATAGGCATGGGAATGCTAGAATGGCTGTCAGAGCTTGGGTCTGTGCTAGGCTCATGGTCAGCCATCTGCAAGAGAGGCAGAGTCTACTCCTCAGTGTCACTTATCCTCTGGCTCAGCAGCCAAAAGCTGCTGCAGCTTCAGCAACAGCTGTCAGAAGGTTAAACACTCCTAGCTGTGGAGCTGCAGTGTAAGGGTGAGTGACACTGAGGAGTGACCAACATTTAGCTGCGGTGAGCCTTACTGTGCTTTGGCCAGTAAGGTTCTTGAAAAATCATTTTTCTTCATTCTGTCCCAGAACAAAGTGTATTTTGGGATGTGTGGTATGTAAGTAAATACAGCATCAGCTGACACTCACTAGTGCATTATTTGGCTCCCAGCTAAATACAAAGTTTAGCACATTTGAGACCTGTTCTTGGTTGACCCTTAGAACATGGATTATTATGCATTTTTTTTGCCTTATTGTACAGCATGTAAACGCTTCAACTGCAGTTTTCCTGCCTGTTTCTGTTTTCATTTTGTATTAAAAATTGGATTGGGGCCCAGCATGCCATGTGGTGTACAAACAAAATGAAAGTCAGCATCCTCCCTTGAATTTCTAACCATCTAATCAAAGATAAGTGTGTGAAACAACATTTGGAAAAAATAGGAAGGAGGACATCTAAATAATATACATATAAAAAAAACCTGTGGAAAGAAGAATAATGTTTGCTATGTTGGGTTTGGCATTTGATAATGTCTCTGAGTAGTACTAAACTGATGCAATAGCTTCACCCAGCAGACAAGACTTACAGAAAGGAACTACCATAACTAATCTTACTGTGTTGTGACTATCAACAAAACTGATTAATTCTAGGGGATTAGTTGACTGAAATTTAATATGTTTTATTTCTGTTTCAGATGGTGAGGGATTACAGAAGATTGATGTTACTGGACTTCTGATTGGCCTAGTTGCTGCTGGAGTGCTGGTGGTTTTAGCTGGATTACTACTTTACTATTTTTTCAAAAGTAGATGCAAATCAAGGCAACCACCAGGGTAAGGATTTGAAAATATTCCTCTTTATTCCCAGAGGAAAACTTTTAACTATTTTAGGATTTGAATTTGATGGTCAGTCTGTACTGGCCTGACTCCAGTCTCCCTGGAGTCAGTTTTACTATTGACTTCAGTGATGGATAAGTTTAGTTCAATGCTTAAATGCTTTAGAAAATACCACCCTGGTATAAGGCTGTAGAGTTGACCTAATCTCATACATCAGAAAAGACACAAAAAGACAGTCTTTTTATTCTTGAACAAAGATATATCACCCATGTTTCACAGAGCGCTAAAATATCCCATAACCATGGTTCTAAAAGATCGCATAAATTTTGCATGCATGCCAATAAGCAAAACATTAAATTTGAGTTGGTCAGAATTAACTATATACATGATCTTCATTTAATGTCTTTCTTTAAAAATATCTTTTAAGTTCTTATAAACAGCACAAAGGGATCACTTAATTTCTACTTCTGATATGCAGACTATAGTGGGTACAGAAATATCCCGTAAATCTAGCTTTCAAGATTAAAAAATCTGCACTGAATTTGGTTCATTTGTAAAATTTCAAATTCTCATACACATCTTTCAACTGAAGAAAGTCAGTTGAACTATGTATAGGAAGTTTAGACTTAATTTTCATGAGAATCAAGGAAAGAAACTAGCATTAATACTTTCTCTGAAATGTTTAATACAAAAGGGAAGGAAAGAGCATACATATTACATAGCAGTAATCAGTTTCATTACTTATAGTAACAATTCTTTGCAAGTTGCATCCAAACAATATTTTTATATTATGTAACTGTCCCTTGCCCTTAAGGGACCTCTTCTCCAGATGAAAGAAGGAAATCCTGTTCAATTCCCATAAATATTGATGCCCTATACTACTTAGACATGTAAAATCCCATTATCCCCAAAATGCAGAGCTGTACAAGGCCATGAAAATGCAGCCTACCTTAGCTGGGACCAGGAACCAGACTGTGTGTATCATACTATCCATCCAAAATAGACAAGGATTGGTGAGCAATTGGATAGCTGTCCAGCTATCACAGTAAAGTAGCAACAGTTTTGTGTTTTGTTTTGGTTTTTTGTTTTTTTTTCTTTTTGTTGGAGGATTCTACCCAACACCTAACTGTGTTTCCCAGCCTGCGCTATAGAAAGAAAATTTGGCCCAGCCTGTTTAATGTAAAAAGGAAAACTTGTAATCTTATATGAGAGAGCTACATGAGCCTCTTCTCCCACTGTATTATAATACTGTTGACTTTGTTTAGATATTCCAACTATGTAAGAAGTAGAAGACGCCATTCATCTATCATCTTCAGAAGACATGAAGAAGTATCTTTAAATCCACTTCCTCCAAGAACAGATGAATCAGGACTTCCAACTTATGAACAAGCAGTGGCAGTTGATGGAAGATGTGATGTTTCACCACCACCATACCCAGGGCCTGCAAAAGGGTTTAGGGTGTTTAAGAAGTCCATGTCACTTCCTGCTTCCTAAGCACAAACCTGCTTCCTTTCTTCCTTGGAAGATGATGATATATATTTGACAAAATGCAATACCTTGCACACTGCTGAACAGTTCACAAAAATGTGAAAGCTTGCTGATCCTCGGCATAGGACTGAGTGAAACTACCATGCAGACAAAGAAGCTATTGTTTTGGAAATAGTTTGTTTCATGATGAAGATTACTTGTTTGTACATGGTTTTGGTGCTAGGAACTGAATTTTGTATAAAGATACAAATTTTATATTGGCCACTTGCATTTAGGGCCAAGCCACTAAATTAGTGATATGCCATTAACAGTTTTGTTTTGTTTGTTTGTTTCTTTAGAAGGAAAAATATTTTAAATGTTGAAAATGGTCTTTTAGAGAGACAAACAGCTTACTTTCTGGCTGCTCAAATGTTATACCTCTGTGAATATAATAAGTATGCAGTAGAAAGTGGATTCTTAGTTCTTGGTTTGGAGGTAGGGTTAGCATTTAGTTTTGAAAAAAAATGTTTTTATTAAACTTTTTAGAACTTACTGCTGTTGCCACTGAAGGACATGTCTACACTGTCTTTGTGCTGCACCCAGGAATGTCATGAACATTCCCATTCACTTGCTCCTTGTCTACAAGTGCCAAATCAGAACTGAAGTAATATGCCTGCTGCAGAGTAGCACTGAATATATGTTTGTAAGCATGCTCAACAGAGCTGAAGACTAGTGCTAAGCATGTACCAGGCACTGGTTTTGGGTACCTATATTGCTGTGTGTGTGTGTCCACGTGGAGTGGAAGTGAGTGGACAAAGTGTGCTTCATGATGGTGGCTGCCAGATGTGGCATGGAAACACTGCAATGATGCCTTTACTTTCTACTGACTCTTTTTTTTTGGTCATTATTATTTTATTTTTGGATCACAAGAGTCTGTGATTAGCAAGACGCAAGGTATTTTCTCCTTAAAGAACTTTTACCCTCATTTTTTACTACTGCTTATATTCCCCTCAGGTGTACCACCTGTTTATTGCTTGGCACTAGGCAAATCAATTCCGTGCCTCTTTCTTCAATTCTTAGATATTCCTTAGATTACTCACAAAACAGCCCATAGCAGATTGCTAGTAAACTTGTCACTGGTTGACCTTAAAATGAACGTAATTTTTTCAAAGTAGTGTCTGGAATGCTACACAGCTTCTATTGGTGACCTTAGTTTTGCACTAACCCTTCAGGAAAATGAAATCTTTGGATGATAGAACATGAGTTCAAAAGTTCCTCAATCATATTCACACAGAGAACTAATATTGGCCTTTAGTGTGACAGCAGCAAACAAAAATTTAACGTGGAACATCTGAAATGAATGCTAAGATTTTGTATTCGGTTACTATCTTAACTGAAAAGTAGAATATTTATTATTAACTTCATTTTAATTGACAAAAATTGTGAATAAAATCAGTTGAGAAAATAGAAAATGTGATACAGAGTCATTACATGATTTTTATATCTAAATCACTTTTTGTTTGTTTTAAGGAGAGTTGTGATATTTGGGAAATACAGGGTGCTAAGGAAGTTACATAAGGTCAGATTTTGCCACTGGATGCATGTATGAAGAATTAGACTCATGGAGAACTATTTTCTTGTTACTGAAACTCAAGACTGAGTCTAATATTGCCTTCCAACAAGTTGCTTAACCTTTCTGTACCTTACTTTTCTGTCTGTAATACAGGCATCTTACTGACCTCACAGGGGTTTTGGGAGGGTTATTTAATTTTTGTTATCACTTGTATTTATAAAGTGTTTTAAGATTCTTGGATGAAAATTGTTTATATATACTTTATTATGATTAATTAATAAGATCATTAACTGTTAATTAATTTATAAGGGCTGAAATGGGCTAGATTCAAAGTGGGGTTCCAAAGTATCGCAAGGACTACATGTCAGCTTGAGTGATACTACAGCAGGCAATATCTGAAATGCAGGCCAGATGAGTAACGTGGTGCTCCATGCAGGCTAGATAGATATGGAGCATGAAGCTGCGTCATCTGGCCTACTGGGCTGGAAATTTGCTGGTGGGGTGAGTGGCAGCAATGTTAATTGCCGTAGCTCCTGGAGCCATGACAACTGCTGTTCATCTTGCCATCAAATCTCTAGCCTGTGGGCAGCCTTGAAGGCCAAGTGACATGGCTCTGTGCTCTACAGGCCGCCCACAGGGATGGAAATTTAGCAATGGGATGAGTGGTGGCAGCAGAGCTGGGGCAATTAACACTACCACTGTTTGCTCCACTGCCAGATTTCTGGTCCTTTGGCTGCTTGAGTCATATCTAGCCTATGAGCTGAATCTTTGACACTCCTGGTCTAAAAACTTAACTGGTTTCTAGCCTCTTAATAATTATAGAAGTACTTGAGCACTGAATTGCCTTCTCATAAGGGAGGGATTTGCTCTTCATTTCATTACCTTCTCCTCATAATGAAAGGCACATTTGTTCTCTAGGCTTTTTCTGAGCAGATGAGAAATTGGATGGGATTTCAGTGCACCTTGGGGGAGTTTTGAAGTTTTTAATGTTAGAATTGTCATTTGCAGTGATTTTTTTTTTTTTTTTCTTTTTTGGCATGTGCATTTTTAAATGAAAATAAAACTTTATAAATACAGTAAAAGCTGGGTTAACTGGCATTTTACTAACCAGAGTACTCTTTTAACTGGAATTTCCAATATTCCCCCAATACAAATCCTCACTTTACCGACTAGACTCAGCCAAGATTCCATCTGGCATGCGCACACACATTAAGTATTTGCACTACAAGTATTGCACTGTCTTCCATATATATAACTCTCAGATAACCAGAATGTTTAGATAACTGGTGCACCCTCCCCCCTTACCCCACTCATGCCAGATAGCAAAGCTTTTACTGTGTATTAAATAGTTCCCTGCACATTCACAGTTTGATCTTTAATCCACAAATTAACTGCAGTTCATTTCATATAGTGAAGATGAAAATAATAGGTGCCTATACACCTGCAGACTTGATTAACTGAGTTTGCTGAAGCGTGGTAATTATCATGCTCCAGAAGACTCTAGTGTTCTATGTATCGGCATTCCCATGCTGAAAAATGGCAGCAGGAGCACTTTAATTCATTCAAGCTTTAGTTAAAATACCCCGCCACCGTTTTTCAGCACGGGGACACTGATGCATGTGATGCTATGGGTGCTTTAAATAGAGGAGCTATGGGAGATGCTCTAATTAAAGCACCACCCTCTTTGCCCCGCCCAACACTCCCAGAGCATGTGTATAAATGCCCAATGTTTACATGCCAAGAATATTGTACAGCTTTGGAGTATGATAGCTACCTGTCTATAAGTCTATGCTATTTACACCACTTGTATGCCAACTAATAGATGTCCATCCACTTCTGCTGGGCAGTGCTTCTAGCCTCAATACAAGTGCCTTTGCAAATCTGGGGTTTGTTGATTAATTTAAAAAAAAAGTGCATAGATCACAGGAAGCTGTGATTTGAAAGTGAAAAGCTCTCAGAAAGGATGATGAACCTTCATCTAAGTTCATCATGAATTCAGAGTGCCCCAAACATTTTTTGCAGGAGAGAAAAGGAGAGATCAAAGGTTTGTATACTACTTGGATGCATTTTCAAAGGCTGACCACCCTGCTGTAGTACTGCTCAATATGAAGCCACTTTTGATGCACGATGAGTGAAAAGTAGTGCTGCTCTTGGGTCATGTGTTTCACTATTACTAGAAAACAATATTAGAAAAGAAAGTACCTTTTAAAAGTGTTAAGGTCAAAGGTCTGCAATGGTGATGCAGTGACTTGTTAAATACAGGACATCTGGAAAGCTTTTCAAAGCTGTATTTCTTTAAAGTTATTTTTAAAAGATGAATTTTAAACAGATTATTCATTTAGAATATTACTCAACATTATTCAGCTTTGAGGATTGTAAGTAGCAGCTTGTGGAAATGTACAGTATATGCATTTAAAGGATCTGCATTCATGTGGATGATAAAATCTGAAGAGACTCAAGCTAATCACTGGATATCAACTGATGATTAGTTTTTCACTTGTAATATTACAGTTTTGAAACTACAAAATAAAATAAATAATTTTCATTATAAATATATCCATGGCTTCTATTAGCGGTTCAGAGAGAATTTTCCTTAGCTGGATTTTTTTTTTTTCAATTTCTCTATTTAATTGCTTCATAACCCAAAAGCATTATTGCCTTTTTTTTTTCTTTTCCCTTTTGGATGTTTTGATCAAAGATATAATTAATTTGATCAGAACTGCTAAGCAGGGAAAGCAAATAGAACAGGTACGTTATAGACTCGATGATCTGCTCAGGTCCCTTCCAACCCTAGAAACTATGAAACTACAGTAGCTTATGAATTCAGAACTGTTGTCACGCCTGTAATGTTAACTGCTCTTTGGAATACTTATGCTGTTTATACAGTTAATATTAAGAGTGTGATAGAGAACATACTTATGTCCCTGTGGATTTTGGTGGGGTGAGGAATGATATAGTTGAATGTCAATATTTTTTTGCTAAATATTTATATGTAATTATATTTCTAACTATAGCATTACTAAACAGCTTTACAACATATACATTTAATGTGTGTTTAACAATATATATGTATAAATAAACATTTAGTAAAAATTACTGATATTTAACAATGCAATTTCTCAACCCACCAAAAATCTAGAGACATAAATTTCCTTTCCAGCTCACTCTTAAAATTAAATGTATGATCAACATACATATTAAATATCAGTGTTCTTTCTTTTCAAACACTGTGAAGGATGATCAATAGTTTTTAGAAGTTAATATGAAGAAAGATGTTATATTGGCAGCTGTAAACTGAAGTCTCCCTTTCCTATGAAATAATGTTTATATATTTCTTTTGAGTGTTCCCAAAAGATTATTATTAATGGATAATGTTATTTATTTCCTGTACCTATTGCTTTGAATTATTTCCCCGGCATTTCCTTTCAATTGTTAGGGTTTGAATGTACAGCTCCAAAATCCCTATCTGACAGTCTGACTTGGCAATATCTCCTATTAGCAGAACAAATAACTTGGTCAAGATTTCTCAGTTTGTTTAGGCGTATATCCTTATTGCTTGGGTAAAACAATACTCCCTCCATTTTTGTAAAATATTTTCAACTCGTCTAAGGGAAGGTACCGTAAGTATCAAATCACTGGTGACATGTAGGAGGTGCACGTGCACCCTCCCTGAGCTTGGCAGTGTACCCCCTGCAAAAAGTGCCACTGACAACCCCGCCCCCTTGCCACTGACACTGCCGGCAGCATCTGGGGGCGGTCCCCGATCGCTGCTGGCCACCACTGCCAGCAGTGTCTGCAGGTGGTTGCCAACCACCAGTCAGCACTCACCGCAGCCGCCTGTGGAAGCTCCCCACTCACTGCCACTGCCCCTGCCGCCACTGCCTCTAGGCAATCACCATGCCCCCCCCAGCCTCTGGAGCCACATGGCATTCATGCATCAAATATTGTTCAATTCAGATTTACCTGTGAACACATTGA